TTGCCCTGCATCTTGCTTTTCATTATTTATTTATTTAGCCTTTTTTTCCTCTCAACTGTAAAACATAAAACTAGTGGGTTTTTCAGGAGCCATATGGACCCTCTGGGAAAATTATATTTGCAATTCTCAACATCAGTCACTGAAAAGTACAAATATTCTGTCAATCCTACCACTGTGTTTGTATAAAGGAATGCTTGATCTCCACATATTCTTATTTATATAACTTCTTAAATATTCAAATACCTGGGGAAAATTGGACTGGAAATGGGGGAGTATTTCTAAAGTAAATATAAATTAAAATAAACATGAAGAAATAGAAAGAGTTTATATTCATTCATAGAAAAGATCCAAATAGAGGGTAGTAGTACTTCTTGCACTCCTCTACCAGGGGCACTGCTTGTGCAAGGACCACCACAGTGAAGGAACTTTCCAACCTATCACTCTACCTTTGTATACTCTCTCAAGGTCAACCCATAACTTAAATCTAGAAACTCCTCCTGTCCTATCTTGTACGTTGGTGGTGGTCTGAGATCACAGAACCCCAACTGGTTTCCTGACCTTTCCTCTGGAGACCTGCTTGCATGTGGATGATAAATCAGGCTCTCAGATGCTCCAATACCTTGTTCAGTGTAGGAACAGATGCAAAAGGAACATAGTTGAAACAGTTTTCAGCACTTGTTCTGACATTAAGACTCTTAAGTAATTTTCCAATCCAGATTCATGGATTCCAAGAAAAAGAGGTCTGGAATGGGCTGTGAAAGCAGAATCATTTGCTCCTCAGTCATTGTTGACAGGTGCTGACACTAACTGATCTGTCCTTGAAAGCCTCAAATAGCAGCTACTCAGGGTACTCCAAGGTCTTTTCTGTCTTCATTAGGTAAGATCCCTAAAGAATCTTTTGTTTTTACTGCTCTCCTGTTTGCAAACTACTTGCCTCTTTTTCTGCGACTCCTTGGCTGAGTCCTGCTCTCTTAAAAGCTGTTTTACAATTAACTGTCCTAATGACTTATGCACTAAAGGAATATGAGGAAAAAAGGATATTGTTTGAGCTTCCTGGAAATAATAAGCTTTCCTTTTAAACACCACAGTTTTATTTAATATACATTTCTTACCTCTCACTTAAAATTTCTTAAATCAGAGAGCACAGTCTATTGGTTTTAATTTGAAAATTATTAATTTATTATGTACTTTTACACTGCATTGTGCGTGAAATAAGTATTGCATTATGATCATTTGGCCTTCCATGGTACATTGGTAGCATTATTTATTATCATTTTGTAGATTTATTTTTATTATTATGGTACTAAGCATATTTGGGGGTTTTAGCTATGTGATCACTTGATCAGATTTATTTCTACTGAGTTTTGTACAAGTAGGGAGGAGATGTGCTAGTGCTGTTTCTGTGAATGAAACTTACTCCTATATTTGACACTTTGTTGCAGTTTGGTTAAGGCTTGTCTGGAGCATAGGCCTGAAAAGGCCCCTGCCAGAAACAAGTCAGGGCTTGTCAGAGCTAAGTTGGGACTGCTTAGACATTAAGGCTGTGCTGACCAAAAAGAAACAATAAGTCAAGCAGAACCGAGACAAGAAAAATTTGCAACTAGAGATAGGATGTAATCTGGTGGTGGGATTTAATTACACGATGTTTACAGTTAGGTAAATGGATTAATATTTGAATATAATCAAAGCGATATGTAAGTTTATGTTTAACTGCTATGTCTCCTGTGAAATGTAAAACCAATCATGTAACCTTGCTTGGAAAATAGTATAAAAGATGCGTTCAAAATGTGAGTCTTTGGGTACCTGTCTTGGGACAGGAGTCCACAGGGACCCCGGGCCCTGAATAAAGCACCGCATAAACTGACACTCTGTTAGTTTGTGTTCTCATTACGGGCAACAACTTCAATAAAAAATACCTTCCATGACTGTGAGTGCATGTTAGGGAGCTTCATAGTCTTATATTTCAACAGAATTCTGAAAGGATCTAAATGTGCAATGGTGAAAAACAAAGACTTCAGAGAGTGCTCTAGGTAGGTAATACAGCCACAGTTGTCATTATGATCTCTTTTAGGATTCCTATTGATGGCAGCAAAATATTTTCTTCATACCTCCATTCCAAGATATGGCTGATATGTATACATGCATTGTGTTGTAAAGAAAAGAAAGAAGATGGGGGCTTTCATCTGAAAGAATGATAGGTGTAAGCATCTTTAGTGAAAAAACTCAATTTGTTTGAATATAAAGTCAGGATCTAGACACTGAATTGACAAAATGTTCTGACAAGGCTTGAATATCTTTATTTATATGCATTGTTTTTGGAATTCACCATCATTTTTGGATGCAGTTCCTAATCTGTATTTCTCTCCCATTTCCCCCAAAACCAAATTCTCTAAGTGGAATAAATACATAATTAAAAAAAAAAAAAAGAAAGTGAATTCAAAGACATTCCAGGAATATTTTAAATTACTTTGTGGCCACAATGTAGCCCATGCATTTCTTGTCTTTGGAGATCTCAGATCTTCTAAGCCCTCACCAGATCAAATTGTGTGACAAATCATAACTAATTCTGAATGACAAACAGAATTCTGTCAATGTCTGAAAAAGATATGAAGATTTTCCTTTCACGGATCTTATGAAATTAAAACCTTTGTATTTTTTCTAGGAAAATTAAAGTGCAAGGAGATTTTGCTCCTCTCCTGGTTGCTGCACAAGGCACAGTTTTCTCCCTGCCCTTTGAGTATTTGATTCACAATCTTTTCCTCATGAGCCATCTCCTGTGTGAACATTTGATGAGGAAGGCCCTGCTGAGTAAACGGGGAAACACATATTCACATCTCTGCTATGCCTGATTTAGACCAGAACAGTGATTTTCAGCCTTTGTTCTGTAGACCCCTGTGGTTTGCAAAACAGCAAATAAAAAACCAAGTTCATGTATGCTGTAGAACTCTACAGACATGTGACATTTCTGAAGGGATCCATATCTCCTTTGGGAAATACAGGCAAACAAATGGAAAGAGTCTGAAAAACTGTGGACTAGAAATTTGGAATAGTCACTCTCAATGGTGTCTTAGTTCTCATGCTGTTTGGAAGCTCATGTGTTTTCTGGATGAAATTGTTCCACTTCATAGGAAGGTTTATGTATTCACTGAAGAGGTGAAGCAAGGGCTGATAATGCCCTTGTCTGTGAAGCCTCTCCAAAATATAGGTATGGAACTATTGAGACAAAGTTGAACAGCTTGAACAGATGCTTATCTAGAGCCTAGAGGCTGTTGTATTCTTTTTGTTACTTTTTCTTTTTTATTTTTTAACTCAACTCTCTCTAATAATAATAAAAGGAAATCTTAGGCAAGAGAATGATGAAAATTAAATTGCTTTCAGGAAAATGATGGGAATAAGCTCTCTGTATATATATGAATCCGGAAAGAATGCTTGGGCAAAATCAGCATCACCAATTCACTCCCCTTGTTCTCCCCCATACTGTGAAGTCTTTCCGAATCAGTAGCAAAAATAGGAATGATTGAATCAGTGAAGCTGTGAACATTACAAGATGCACACTCCAACAAACATAAAATGCGTGAGTGCCTGGTGAGCATTAGGAAATCTGTCACTATGAACAATTGAAGATGACAAGTTTAAATAGACCGAGGAATTCCAGTGTTAACTTACCTACAAACAAAATATTTTCAAAATTGTTGTGATTACTCTCTTTTTTTTTTTTTTTTTTTTAACTGAAAATTAGCTGCATGAAAAATAAGTTAATTTAAATTCTTTTCTGGTAAGTGAAAAGAAAATAAGAGATTCTGGGAAAGCTATTAAAAATGTAAACAAGATCATTCATTTACTGATCATTTTCCTTTTTTTTGCTAGAACTTTCAAGAACACCTTTCCTTACTATGAGTAACCCCACGTTACAGACTTTCATGGGGTTCTGAAGGTCCCACAGCTAAAGAGTCCTCAGTTCTTCTTGGAAGAAAGAGAAAGCTTTCTGTTTGAAAAGTCTGTCATTTATATTAATAACTTGTGAGAGTCCTATATGGGACTGATTCCTTACTGAAAGAGTTCAAGCCCTGCAGAGACTTGATCAGGCTGCTCCAGGAGCACCTCTCATATTGGCTGTCACAGCAAAGTGGCAAGCATGGGGGAGTGACCCTTTAAAAGCATTAGAAACAGTTTGCCTCCACAGTGTTTTGTTCTGTGAGTTATTTTAGCGTGTTTAATTCAATAGAGAAGAAGATGGAAAATAATAATGAGGACTAAGGAGAATAGGACTGTCGTGAGGTACTTAATACCCCTCTCAGTAGGCAGATGGATTATCTGAAAGGAGGAATAAAGATTGCATTTTTTGAAACCAACTCTAAGCTTCAGGGAACCAGGGAAATTGTTTTCTGTTATATTTGTGTGCACAGTCTCATCTGCAAGATATTTAAATACCTAGTACCCCTGAAGCACATAACTTCTGCTCATTTAGCTATCAAAATGGTTTTGTTGATTTTAGTATTTAACCTTTAGCCCAAATGGTAAAAATAGAATGCCAAGAAAATCTTCATAATGTCTGTGAACATAACAAGGGTAAAGTGTCAGAAAATAGGTTTCTGTCTTTCCTACCACTCCATTCCTTTGCAGTGTAAACACTTTGTAAATGACCTGTGCACTTTCATATTTCAACTTTCTTACTTACGCTGCATGTTAGATGGAAGTGCTAACTTTAAAATTAGTCATCCTAATGGGCAAAGCACTGTAAAAAAGATGGGTGTTTTGAACATAACAGGCTTTACATTAAATTCGGAGCACAGATTAGATGAATTGTGGAATTATGCCTAATACTCTTAAAGGGTTTTAGTGATCAAACACGCAGTAGATCCATGCTGACATTAGGTCTAACACATCTAAGATATACATAATAGAGATCCAGGGTCCTACAGACCTGCAGTCCTACTGGTTTATATTCAAACTTCTACAGTGTAAAAATGTTGACTGAAAATGGACATGTTTTTCTGTAGTCAACAGTATCTCCAGTGGTGTTTCTGGACAGTCCTGACCCTGTGTAGCTCACAGACTACATGCTGGATGAATCTACTGTAATACTGTGTAGCCCTCTTACACTGTAAGTAGACTGCTACTTGCAAGTTATAGCATATTGCTGATGTGCTAAAAATATTTCCACCTTCACCATAGGGCATTAACATGAAATCTGTTAAGATAACAGATGAAATTATATACTTTTGTAATATTACACTTCTTGAGGGTTTTAAATGAATGTATTTTATGTATCACTGATATACTAGTGTTCACTTACCAGTGAGGAATGCTTTTCCCCATCCACAGTATGGATTTAATCTTAGTTAGTAATTTGATTCTCCTAGACTATTTCATAAGATAAGGAGAACTATCTAAAGCCCATGACATCTCGGACAGATAAACTCCTGCCTGAAATCTTCTTTCTGTCCAGGACTAGACTAGTCAGTTGAAGTTAAGTGAGATAAATCTCATCCATAGTACAGAGGGCAGCTACAGAAGAGCTTCAGATCCCTCAAGGTGGGAAGTGCTCCTCATGCCTGCAGAGGAATCTGACAGCTTTGACTGTTGTCAGAAGTAACTGTGAATAGTTCAATATGGTTAAGTACAGTGAAGAATGAAAAAGCTGATAAGTCTGAGTTGCAAACAGACAAGTAATGAACTGGGTGTGAGTTTTCACAGCAAAGAATGAAACTAAATGACCATTTTTACTAGCAGTCAGACTGCATGAAAAAATAGTATTATCTGGTATTACCATCTATGAATATCTGCATTTTAGACATCTTATAAATGTTTTTATTTCATTCTACAGCCTTATTACTTAAGGAGAAACAAATTGAAGAAACAAACTGGGCTTACGTGGCAAAGTTTTGGTAGCTGGGGGCTGCACAAGTGGTCTTTGTGAGAAGACATCAGGAGCTGCCCCCATGTCAAACAGAGCCAGATCCAGCTGGCTCCAAGATAAACTCACCACTGGGCAAACCTGAACCCATCAGAAACATCGGGAGCACCACTCTGACAGTATGTTTAAGAAAGGGAAAAAAATGCTGCACAACAGAAGCTGGGATAGAGGAGTGAGAATATGTAAGAGAAACAGCTTTGCAGGCATCAAGGTCAGTGCAGAAGGAGGGGGAGGAGGTGCTCCGGGCACCGAAGCAGAGATTCTCCTACAGCCTGCAGAGAGGGCTGCAGTGGTACACATTGTTCCTTGCATCCTATGGAGATCCACCACGGTGCAGATATCTAGCTGCAGCCCATGGATAACCCCACATCAGAGCAGGTGAATGTCCCTTAAACGAAACGGTGACTCAGAAAGGGCCCATGCTGGAACTCCTGGCAGAAACTGCAGACCATGCAGAGAACACAACACAGGAGCAGGTTTGTTGACAGACCTGTGACCCCATGAGGAACCCATGAATGAGCAGTCTGTTCCTGAAGGATAACACCATGTCGAAAGGACCCACAGTGGAACAGTCAGCCCATGGGAAGGATTTATATTGGAGAAGTTCATGAAGGGCTGTCTCTAGTGGGTAACCCCTAATGATGGAGCAAGTGAAGAGTGGGAGGAGGAGCAGCAGAGATGAAGCATTATGAACTGACTATAACTGATCCCATTCCCCATTCCACTGCACTGCTTAAGGCTGAGGAGGTTGAAGATTTAGGAGTGAAATTGACCCTGGGAAGAAAGAAGGGTGAGGGAAATATTTTTTGTGTTTTTTTTTTTTTTTAATTTATTCTTATTTCTTATTAATGTACTCTGCTTAACTGGCAATAAATTAAATTATTTTTTCCCAAGTCCAATCTGTTTTCCCCATGGCAGTAACTGGTAAGTAATCTCCATTATCTCAGCCCATATACCTCAGTCTCTATACCTCTCTAAGGAGGGGAGGTTATAGAGTAGTTAGGTGGGCATCTGGCAACTAACCAAGTTCAACCTACCACAAAATAATAAAATTTGGGTTTTTTTCCTGAACCTGAAACTCTGTAAAATAGATGTCAGGCAGGAGACAGAAAAGTAATTTACGGGGGATGAGAATAAACTCCCCAAAACTCAAAGGCTTCATCTATACACAAGACTAAAGTAATGTAATTAGATATATGAGTAATCATGGCTCAGTTAACAATCTGAATGTTTTCTGATGAAACCAGATTTAAAAATGCATAAGATAGGCTAGTTGAACTAAGACAAAAAGATGAGACATCCAATACAATTTCATGGAACAGATGATGAATTTCAGGCTAATATAAAAACAGCCCCTAACCAAATTTAGAAAGTTTTTTTTAATATATAAATTTCATAACAAGTTCAGTCAAAAAATAATTGTGTTTATTTCTACATTTTTTCACATTTAAAACCTTCTCATTCTTTATTGCTTCTATATTCACCTGGAGTACTCCTTGACTCCTAGTCAGTCTGTGTGAGCTGTGCTAGACGTGACTGTAGCATTTGAATAAAGAAATTGAAACATCTGAATTAGACTTCCCCTTGCCGAAACACTTGTCAGTTACTGAACTGATGATCTGTTTCCCCTGTGAACTGATGCAAGAAGGGCTTTTAAATGTGTGCCATTGAAATGCATTTTAAAGGCTGTTTTTTTCAAAAACTTTTCTTACTACCTTAAAATATATTTATCTTTTTCTTAACACTACTTTTTTGAACACTTGCCGAAATAAATTTTTAATTCAAATCTATTATCTGGTTTGCCAGTTTTAAATTTTTTTCTGTGTCTACATCCTAAGAATTGAAAAAACTCAGGACTTTCTAGGAAAAAAAGTTAAGTTCTAAAGGTAATTTCCTGGCTTTGATCTTTGTGCACCAATGTCAATAACAGAGAGAACAACCACAGTGAGGAATGGGGGCATGCTCCAACTCCACCTTCCTACTTTGAAAAACTTAAGGAAAAGGATTTAGGCAAAATGGAGTAAAGTTGATCTACAAAATGTATAATACAGAATGCAATGTCTTATTTTACAGGTAAAGTATCACCTGCATTTTTTTGCCTGTTCCAGGGATGATTCACTTGCAGACCACACCAATCTACATCACTCACAAACAGGAAGTGTATTATTTCCTTTGGAGACAGACAGGGGAGCTCTTCACACTGACATCATGGATGTAGATGCTTTAGGAATACTTCAGAAAGGCTGATGAGTTGGATTTTATCCTTTTTCAGAAAAATTTTCTGATCTTTTTCAAGTAGCCTTTCTAATATGCATGTCAGAAAAGAGACTGCTATTTCTGATCTCCATAAAAGAAATGTATGAGTAAAATATGGCAGCTATTACTATTTCTAGACCGGGTTTTTATCTCAGTAGCATATTGCACTGGCTGTTTTGTAATTAGGTGCCATTAAAAGAGGATGTCTATCAAAATGTTAACAAGGATGGTGGTCAATCTCTGTCAGATTTATTGAAAGCAAATACATTTACAAGTTCCATCATAAATCTTGGTCAAGTAATGAGATTCTCAACTTATTTTCCACAAAGTGGTTATTACATTATGCAGGCAAAATGGCATGGTACACAACAGTTCAATTTCATCAGCTCTTCACACAGCAATGAAATCACAAACCAGTACTGTTCAAATTTTGATTTATTTCATTGTTGTATATTAGCCTAGAATATAAGCATGCATGGAATATTTTGGCTGAATACATGTTTAAAACTCTCAAGAATTCTCTCATTTCTAATGGAATTCTAACAATAAAATGTCAAACTCTTGCTTAGTAACAAAATCAAGTATGCACATTTTTAATACTTCACTTTGAAATGTTTAAATTAGTATTTTGAAATTATTACTCCAGTCAGCCCTCACTTACACTGATACACACAAATAATGTGTAGAGCCAAATTCTACAGAACTGCTTCTTGAATCTCCTAACTTTCAGTGAGAAGTTCTAAACAAGAACTTGTCTCCCCTGTATAATTGAAATAATAAACTATATAATGGTACTTTGAGTTCAAGGTGAACTTTCAAAATTCTGGGTTATAGGTTATTATTTGTCACCTATCTCAAAAATGTTTAGGCATTTTTTAAAAACCAGCTTTCACTTTGATGCTGGAGGAAGCCAGGAAACGGTAAATAGTTTTCTTGTGAGCACATTCAGCATGGAGGTAGGAACTTGTGGTTCATCTTCCTGCACAGATCAATGACTGAGCAATCAGTTGGTGTTTAGGGAATTCATCTAACTAGTATGAAATGTGGTTTCAGACTCCCTCATTTGGAAAAGGGAACTGAAATTGTTTGATACTCTTCAAGGTGTGCTCTGCACACAGAATAAACAAAGAGCATAATATCCTCCAGAATTTTATAGCTTCTCATTTCCTCCACCCAAAATTATGTGGGAAATTTGGATTAAACTGAGAAGTAGTCTGGGGAGAAAAGAGCAGGCTGTTTAAATGATTGTGCTGCTGAAGAAGAAATTCTTCACCAATATAAGGCAATATTTATGTAGGCCTATTTACAACTATATTGAATGTTAGGTTTAATTGTAAATTTATTTTTAAGCCTGTAACTGCTGATCTTGTGTAAAAAATACCCTAGATCAATCCCCAGCAGCTGACCATACCTCAAATTCAGCAGTATGTGGAATGTCCAAATGCAACAGAGTGATGTCTATGGGCTCTTCCTGCTGTGTATGGAATTTATCCATATACTGAAAATTGTAACTGCAGTAAATCCAGCAATGATGATTCGGAAATTTCTTGGTCTGTCATTTCTAGCCTTCTACAAACTTCTATTTCCTTTTCCTTTGCTTGTGTTTAGATCAAACAGGGAAAGAAAGAAGGTCTGATCGTAAAATGACTGTGAAGTGCATGTTGTGGACCACTGTAGGGTGGGTCCAAAGTAATGGTTGTGAAAATGGGGATTTTGTGTCTTAAATCATGTGAAGATGACCTTCAGATTAGACCCTGGGGATAACTATGTGCTATATTACTCGATGGATGTTGTTCCTGAAAGGTGTTACTGACTGCTTTGTTCTGCTTAGGTGAGCAAAACAGTCAGATTGGAATTGATGTTTATGCACTATGCATTCATTTTTGGCATAAATTCAGTTTAATGTTTCCATTGTATATATCTTTTCTGCTCTTTTTGCATTCTGTATAAAGACTGCACAGAGACAATACTGAGAAATTGAGGAAGAGTAGTACATCAGTTTGTTGATTTTGTTATAGTTTCTATCCAGAAAATTTCTAGACCCTTGAATTAAGCATCTAAATATAAGTTGCATTTGTCCTGTGTTTGAAGTGCTGGAAGCAAGCCACAATTTTCTGGATTCACAGTGTAGCACTGAAGATCAATATTACCCTCTCTGAATATATGTTGTATCTTGGCTGACTATACAACACTGTTTGGAAGCTCTCCCATAACTAAATTCAAGCACAGATCCCCATTTATCACATAAGTAAATATATCATTTGGTTTTAAATGATCATGCCTTTTTTTTGCCTTTTCTTTTTTTTCCTGCCCAAGGAAAGAGGAATTTGATGACTTTCTGAAGCCCCAGAGAAGCCCCAGAGAAATGATTGCTGTGTTTCATGATCAGTTAGGACACACAGGATTTATGTACTATAATAAAAATGATCTGGCTACCTATATATACTGCTCTTTGCAATTTTAATGTCTAAAGGACAGCAGCAACTACAGGGCTCACAAAGTATATGATGGCATATTCTCAACCATATGGTGTCCTTTCTGGATGTTTCTCTTGAGTTTTGTTGTGAAGAGGATTAAAGGACAAGAAAATGTATTTCCTTGGCTAAAATTCTGCTCACTCATAGGGGAAAATGTCCGGAATTATATCCTTTCCCTACTGATAGAGTATTGTAACCCTACAGTGAGCAACTTGTGCCAACCATTATTTCTATGACTAGTAGACTGCAAATTGATACTGGGCACCTGACACACAATAGTTGGTGGCAACTCTGGATAGCAGTGCTACAAATCTAGAGAATTTTTAAAGGAAGCTAGTAGTTATAGTTGTTCTTTCAGAACTCCATTGTGGAGGAGAAACACAGGAAGTGAAATCAGAAGGATCAGGGAAGTAATCAGGAATGAGGCATGAGTGGAATAAAATGGTGTCCAAAAAGAGTCGCATATGATATCATGGCACACTGTAACCCTCTCTCTTCAGCACCTGCTGTAAGTTCACAGCCCACTGCTGGGGTTTTAGCTGCTTGTTTAAGGGGTCCAGCTTTGACACACTCCAGCTGTGTCACCTTGACTCAGACTGCTGAGACAAAGCTGTGAGACTGTCTGTATAGGGATAAGAAAGATAAAAATTACAAAGATCAGTAAGAATGGTGATCTGTGATTGCTAGGAGATCAAGGATTCATGAGAAAAAAAATCCATATGAAATGCTAACATCTTAAGGAAAAGAAATTAAAATAGCCGGAGGCTGGTCTGGTCGGGGACAGCTGGCAGCTGCAAGGTTGGGAATTATCCATCAGGACTGTCAGCCCTGATGGAGTGGGAGGAAGGCAGCAGCTCTGCACCCATGATGATGGCTCTTGGGAGCCATGACCACCAACACTTTACTCCTCACCACCATCTACCTGTCTGGTAAACACTCTCCAGACACTGTATTGGAGTGTGAGCACATCCCTGTTTAACCTCACAGCCCACTAAATATTAGCTGTGTTTTACACGCACTGGCCAATAAATAATTGCTCTGAACCTGTGAGTTACCCGTATTCTGCTTGCAGAGTATTTTTTTCTATGCTAATGTTGCCCAAACAAACTGACTATAAAAATACTTTGTAGAGGTTAAGGGGTGATTTTGTTATTATACTGGGAAACCAGCTTTGAGTAAGTAGCAGCTTAATAGAAAAAGAACATGATCTTGGAATAAGTGATTTACATTTGTAGAATTAAAAAAAAAAAATTTAAAAAACTAATATAGCAGAAGCTACAACGTTCCTGCGATAGATGAAGAATAATTTGCTGCAGCCATACATCTAGGAGAGCTCTGATGCTCAGAACTATCTGACATTAAATCATGTCAAGCAGGACCAAACAGCAATTGAAAAAAAATCATTAATGTTTTTAATTAGTTTGTCTTGAAGTCTCATCTGCATTCTAAAAGCAAAGGGCTTTTCAGTAAAAATCATGGCCAGCTTCTGTAACAAGGAAACTGGCTGTACTCAGACTGAATTGGGCCCTAAATTTGTTGCTTGGCAAGAGCAGCAAAATGTTTTGCTCTGGTGTCTGACTCCATTGGCAGTGGTGCTTGTTAATCACACAACCCATTACAATGCACTGTACAAGGAGGAATCTCAAAAACATCTTATTGCTGAACTAAAGGCTATAAAGTGCAGTCTTTTCTGCTAACCAGATTTGTGTTCTGTTTTGTTTAATGGTAGTTGTGCCAGTCCATGATTACTCACAAATGGTGACTAGAGACTGTGGCTGAGAACCCTCAGTGTGAGTGCAATGAGGGGAGGACCTCAGAGCTCATGTTTTGAAGCAATATTTAGGCTAGCTTAACACTGAGCAATAAAATGGTGACAATAACATGGAAAAGGAAGGCTAAAAATGTTTAATTACTTTACCCTGATGACCCTGCTCCTTTCCAAATTGGCAAGTAGGAACTGGAACTTGCCAAGCATGTTTTATTTTTAAATCTTTTATCCACTGGCCAATATGCATACTGCATCAGACTTCATACATGTTCTTTATAGTTCTGTATGGTTTTCCAGCCTATAGATAGCTGTGTGTTCATGCACACACACTTAGAGAACTGACACATGCAGGGGCAACTCTGACTGTGGGGTGTGTGTGGGTGCATCCCCCACTGAATTTTGTAACTAGGTAAAATCCCTCTGAGTTATTCTTCCCCCTTTACTCAGTGTAGCAACAGCAACAGCAGCAAGGCAAGCTGAGCTCTGCTGCCCACTGAAGGAAGAAGTACTCTGCATCCATGCAGTAAGCCTTTGAGGGAAGGAGTCCCGCTGTCCCCAGTACCTTCCATCCTTTCAGCTCAGGAAAGCACCCACATACAGAGTACTTTAGTATGTTGAATGCTCCTTTTCATCTGGGAGATGGGCAACACTGCAGCTGTGTGCACTTTCATTTATACTGCCCAATTCTTGTCCTCCTAGTGCAGAAACAACCCAACTAGCAAATAACTAATATTTTTTGCATATCAGCACTCTAGTGAGTGTGACCAATTCAAACTGGGGTATTGGTTAGTAAGCAACATTTGGCAGTATCTGATGGCCAGTAGCTCAGTAGAGTGTAATCTTGTTCACTTGGTTAAATTGCTTTCAGTTATTTTCTCATTTTTCTATCCAATGAGAAATAAATAGCAATAGTAGCTGTTTTTTTGGATGCCACAGATGAATGTCACTTCATAACTGAAGAGTTTGAGCTAACTTCCTAGAAGGATTTGCGTGCACATTCTGGCAGTTACATGCATCCCTGGGTGTGCACTTCCACACAGTGTTGCATGGTCCAAAGGCTCAATAATTTCTTGTATTACTGTTGTGACTGAAAAGGGCTTTCATCACTACTATGCCCTAGTGGATCAGCAGAGAAAGTAGGAAGTGTGACAGGTTGAATAAAGGCCATAACTTAAAAATAAAAACAATGCTCTTATGAAGGTGGGTTCATGTAGTTAGCGTATTTTTAATTTTTAAAAAAGCCAATTATTTATTACCAATGTCTGGCTCAAAATAATCCTACAAAATTCATCATTCTCAATTTTAAACTTTGACAACTACAAGGTAAAATTAATAAATGGACCTTAGCAATAAAAAGCACAGGTTTGTTTTGGAAGTACATGCTTTTCCTCTCAGATGAGAAAGGAAATCAGACGTAGCTATGAATTTGTTTTGGTTTTGGTTGTTTTTTTTTTACTTATATATATACTTATTTTTTTTTAAATACTTATATATGAGTATATATGTGTATATATATGACTCTATGTGGATTACTGAAGGGAAATGTTGTACCCATCTTTAAAAAGGGTAGAAAGGACTCTGGGAATTACCAGCCTGGCAGTCTCACCTCTGTGTCTGGAAAGATCATGGAACAGATCTTCCTAAAAGATGTGATAAGACAAATGGACAACAGGAAGGTGATTTGGGATGGACAGCACAGCTTCAGCAAGGGCCATGCCAACCTAGTGGCCTTCTACGATGGAGTGATTACATCTGTGGACAAGGGAAGGGCTACACATATAGTTTACCTAAACTTCTGTATAGCTTTTGACATGGTCCCAGGCAACATCCTTCTTTTTAAATTGGAGAGAGAGATGGATTTGATGGGCGGACTGTTAGATGGATGAGGAATTGGCTGGATGGTCACATTCAGAGGGTTGTGGTCAATGGCTCCCAGTGGACACTGATGACAAGTGGCGTCCCTCAGGGGTCCATACTGGGACCAGTATTATTCAATGTTTTCATTAATGACATAGACAGTGGGATCAAGTGCACCCTCATAAGGTTTGCAGATGACACAAAGCTGAGTGATGCTGTTGACACACCTGAAGGATGAGATGCCATCCAGAGGGATCCAGACAAGCTCTAGAAGTGGGCCTGTGGGAACCTCAGGAGGTTTAACAAGACCAAGTACAAGGTGCTGCACCTGGGTCAGGGCAACTCCCAGTATCAATATAGGCTGGGAGATGAACAAATCTAGAGCAGCTCTGAGGAGAAAGATTTGGCGGGGGAGGGGGGGGCTGGTGAATGAGAAGTTGGACCTGAACTGTCAATGTGCAATTGCAGCCCAGAAAGCCAATTTTATCCTGGGCTGCATCAAAAGCAGTGTGGCCAGGAGGCTGAGGGAGGTGGTTCTGCCCTCCACTCTCCTCTGGTGAGACCTCACCTGCAGCATCGTATCCAGCTCTAGGGATCTCAGGAAGGGCATGGACCTATTGGAACTAGTCCAGAGAGAGGACCATGAAGATGAGTAGAGGAATGGAGCATCTCCCCTATGAGGAATAGCTAAAAGAATTGGGGTTGTTCAGCGAAGAGAAGGTTCTGTAGAGACCTTATTATAGCTTTTCAGTACTTAAAGGAAGCTTATAAGGAAGATGGGGATAAGCTTTTTATCAGGGCCTGTTGCAACAGGACAGGGGGTAATGATTTTAAACTAAGAGAGGATAGATTTAAATTAGATATAAGGAAGAAGGGTTTTTTCAGTGAGGGTGGTAAAACACTGGAACAAGTTGCCAAGAAAAGTTGTGGATGCCCCATCCCTGAACACATTCAAGGCAAGGTTGGACAGGGCTCTGAGCAACCTGATCTAACTGAAGATGTCCCTGCTCATTGTAGGAGGTTGGACTAGGTTACCTTTAAAAGGTTCCTTCCAACTCAAGCTATTCTATGATTCTATATATATAAAATCTATCTCTAATTTTGATAATATTTCTGGTTTTGTTTTAGATTTTAATACAGTTCCTTCACATATTCCAACAAATGACCAAAGTATGTTGCAATCATGTCAATTCTGTATCCAATTTATTTTTCAAATATTCAGCGTGCTGAATCATAGTTATCTTAAAGACCACATTTTCCTTCATTACCTGTCAAACTGGCTGTACTCTATAGCAACAGTGTAACCAGCAAAGTCCAGGAAGAATGCATTCCCATGCATTCCCTGGCTTATTAACTGCTTTAATACTATATCTTCTTAGCTAATAATAACCCATATGTTTCAGTCAGATTCTATGCCTCTTCCTTTTCTGGTAATTTTCTTCAGTGAAGAGAATAACAATATTATTATTAACAAATTAAATTGAATAGTAGAATGAGCGACCAACAATACGTGATGAAACACTCATAAAACATAATTTTTTTTTTACCTTGTACAAGATTAGATTTCCTAGCTATAAAGGATAGTAAATTGATGTGTATAGATTAACAACATCCTTTCCATTTTGTGAATTTTGAAATACATGAATTTGGATGTAAGGAAATAGAAAACCTTGTCTTGCCATGATTTCCAATGAATAACAACATAGAGAACACTTGTAATCTATCAAAAAACTTAGATATCAATAAATTCTTATTCTAAGGTAAACAGGTTAAAAAGGGAAAT